AGCCACCGCACCCGGCCACTTTTTTTTGTATTTTTAATAGAAACGGGTTTCACCATGTTGACCAGGCTGGTCTCGAACTCCTGACCTCAGGTGATCCACCTGCCTCGGCCTTCCAAAGTGCTGGGATTACGGGTGTGAGCCACCACGCCTGGCCTGTCAGCTCTAAGGTTTGCTCAGCCTCCCCCATTCAGACCCTCTCCCACCAAGCTGCACCCCTGCCCTCTCCCTTTGGCCCTCCGAGGCACCTGTGCGGGCAGCAAAGAGCATGTAGATGGAGCTGGCTTGGTGGGGCTCCTATTGATGGCTGATACACCTAAGACACCATGACACACCCAGGAGGGAACTGATGTCTATAGAGCAGGCACTAAGTCACAGGGAACACAGGGATGATACCTGGCCTGTGGCCCCATATGCACCTTCATGGACCCTGCCCGGTGTCCACCCCACAGTCTCAGCATCTGGAAGGTTCCAGCTCCCACAGCTGGTGTGGGAATCTCGTTCTCACCCCACCTGGGTCCCCTGCCAAGGCACTGGCCCATTTCAGCCATCACCTAGCTGGATAAACTTAGACCACTGAGTCCTGCCCTAGGGGGGAAGTCAGAGCCCAGGAGGTCCCAGTGCGCCTCGGGTGGCCCCTCATGTCGCACACTGGCCCCCACCAGGCTGCATGGCCTTGGCACTGCCTTGTCCCACATGCATTCCATATGGGGACCTAGAGCCTCGGGAAAACACAGATCCACACAGGCCTGGCTTCACTGTGAAAAAACAGGCATCATAGAAAAGGGTCAGAAAATGGGTTACTTCATCTTTCCCATTTCATGATACTTTCTCAGTTTACTATTATAGTAAACGTAAGCTTGAAATAAAAAGGTTTCTTGTCACTAAGTTGAGTCCACCTCGAACTGCCACCCACAGCCACTCTGTGCACAGAGCAGCAAAGAAAAGCCCAGTCCCCATCAGTGGTCACCCTTTCCCATTTGGCAGCAACGCTCCCTAGGTCCGGGAAGGCTGCTGCACCCCAGCCCTAAGCCCCAACCCTACAGGGTAGGGAGGCTGGCAGAGAGCTGGAAAGGATCTGACCCTCAGGCTCTGATGCAGGTCTTGGGTTTAGAGATGCCTCCAAATGGGGAAGGTTCAAGCCTAGGAACAACTACGATTTTGTAGCGAGATGCATCGGCACCTCAGCAACCAGCCAAGACTCAACAAGCATTTACTGTACAATAAGCCTCAAAGAACTGGACTCCCAGGCCAAGTGCGGCCTTGCCCACAGAAGTCTCAGCCGCCCACAGCTAGGAGGCTCCTCCCAGCACCTCTCCCTTGATCCTCAGTGCAGCAAGGAAGCCTCTCACTTGGGGAGGTAGGCAGGGAGCCCTCCTCCCAGTAGGCTCTGTAGAGAGGGCACCTCCCACCAGCTCTGGAGCTGGCATGCCGCCTGTCCAACAACTGGGACAAGGGTGGGCCATACTTCAGCATATGGCATGGTGATAGGCCACCACTGACACCGAGTGTGGGACAGGAAGGGCATCCAAGTCCCTGGGAAGTCTGAGCTGGCTGCACTCTGAGGGGAGCTCCCAGGAAGTAGCAGGGCCCCTGGGAAGGGTCCCAGAGGGAGACCAGCCTGCCCCAGGCCAGGCTCTGTCGAAGTGGATGGGAACATCCTTGACTGAGGGTGTTAAGCCAACAGGACTCCAGGGACATGGCCCCAAGGGCGTTTGCTGGCTCTCAGATCCAAAGCCCTTTTTCAGATCTAAGTGAGGCCTCCTCACAGCTCAACTCATCAGACCCAAGACTGGAGGCTGACTAGGAGGGGTTGGCACATGTTTCTCAACAGCTGGAGGGCACTGGGGCACGAACCATGTGACAGCAGCCCAGGGTGCCCAACACACCTGCTTCCTCCAGAACGCAGGGGACAGCGGAGGAGAGGAAACCCTGGGGCTGGCGGTCCCTCTCCCCTGCACCTCACCTTTAGGCCTGAGGACTCTGGCCTAGCAACATTCAGCTAGGCTTCCAGGAAGATCCCGAGCGACCACAAGGCTCAGCGATCAAAAGCAGAGGCCGACCAGAGGCTCAAAGTTAGCTGTCTAGGGAGGGAGAAGCTTCCAGTGTAGCCACAAAGACCTTCACAGCCTGTGTCCTGAACTGGGAACACTAAGACCCGCCCCCCCCAATCCAGTGGCAGGTGACAGGAGCTGATGGAGGGGAGACCACCCCAGCAGGTTGGGTGCCAAGGGAATGAATGAAAGGCCTCAGGGCTGGGGTTGGGGCTGTCACAGGAACTATCTCCCCCACCTCCCTCCACAGGCACCAGCACCGGGCACAGCTGCTCCCTAGCGTGACTGGCGTCTTTAGAGGCTTCCCTTCAAATCTTAATGCTGAGATGTTCCTCAAGGGCTCACTACTCCACTGCGCCCACCACAGTAACCCTCCTGCAGGCTGAAGCCCCACATCTGCTCAGTTCCATCAGGACGGCAGGGGCCAGGCCGGGATGCTACACCATCTCACCCTTGGCTTCACCTCAAAAGGCAGCTGGAGGGCCTGGGCTCTGTCTGGGTGTGAATTCTACTCCTATGACACACTGGCCATGGGACCCTGGGCAAGGCCTTAAATCTGAGTTTCCCCATCTGTAAAATGGGTCGATAACAGCACCAGTGGATAAACCCACTTGGTGGGACTGCTGCAAGGATGAAATGCACATCCATAAACATCTGCTACGTGGCTGCAGAAGTACCTCCCAGGGTCAGGTGGTGCTGCTGCCACCATGGGTCCCTGCAGATGCCGAGGCCCCTGCTGTCCATCCCATGCTTTCTGTTGGTCATCGCTCAAGTTGTCCCCCAAATGTCAGGTGATGCTCCTTTCCTGCCATCAGGCCCTGGTGGCCACAGATCCCCACCAAGGCCTTTCTTCTTGAGGCTGGGCCACAGTCCCTAACCCTAGACAGGCCCCTGGCCAGCCCTGTGCCCCGGGGGCAGGCTGCCTCCTGGACTGCACAGGAGGGGCGGGGCACCCTCCAGCCCACACTAGGGCCTTCCTGCTCACCAGTGGCTGGTGCAGTGCCAAGGCCCTCAGGGAGGCCCTGGATGCACAAAGATCCCTAGGGAGGGTGGTCATCGGCATCACCAAAGCCGAGCATTGACCCAGAATCCCACCAACACAACTGCAGCCTCTCCAGCTTCTATCCCCAGGCCCTGGTTTAACTGTGCAGGAGGCAGTGGTAATCCCAGGGGCCAGCCAATGTCCCCAGCAGCAGAGCCCCCGGAACACGTCCGGTAAGTGCCTTGCCCTGGGCACAGGGTGGGGGTCCTATGTAGGACACTAATCACAGGGGCTGTGGGGAAGAGTGGCCCCACAGCCACATGCCTGACCCAGAAGACACGGTCCCAACCTGCCATGGGACGCCACACACATCTCACATCACTCAGGGATGCTGCTCAGTGCAGCCCACACACATCACCCATGGCAGCAGGCGCCACCATCTACAACTCCCACCCCTGGGCAACCTCTGCCCATCTTGGAGTCTGGAACCTGCCCTCCAGGCCCAACCTGACCTGGGCCCCACGGTGAGTCTGCAGAGTGAGCTGACTGAACAGCCCCACTTCTCTCCCTCTGACAACCCATCCGCTAAGGCCTGGCCTGGAGTGCAGGCTGTGGAAGTCAGTTCCAAGTGAGGCCAACACCTGCTCCCTCCCCTCCCCCGGCTGGTGCAACTTTCTCTATCCAGACACAAACTCCAGATGGCCTCAGAGAGACCCTCCCTCATGGGGGGCAGCAAAGGGAGGAGGTGGACAAGGGTGACACGCCCAAGTTCATAGGCATTAGCAGCCCGCCTTTCTGCAAAATGTCAGGGAGACGAGGGTGGCACTGGCCCCACACATTGGTGCCTGGGGGAGGTAGGGCTCTCGGGCACAGCTGCTGCACTGGGATCTGAACCAGCTGCATGGCCCTGGCCAGGCTGCCAGGTCTGTAAGGAGGGGGCCTCCTCTGAGGACAGGCACTGGTCCTGCCCCTCACTGGGGCAGGTGACCTCAGAAGGATCAGTCTGCAGTGGCTGAGGGGGTCCATCTCAGAGGGTGGAGAGGCAGCCCCACAAGTACAGGGTTGGCCTGCCAGGCCAAGGCCACTGGCAGCCACGTAAGGCCTGCAGGCACCCACAGCCACAATTTTCTCCAGGCACATTCTTGCTCCAGTGCAGACCAGAGCCGGCAGAAAACAGGGTTCAACCAGGGTGGGGATCTAAGCCAGGTAAGGAGAAAGGCAGGGCAGGGGAGGGGCAGGAGGGGAAGCGTGGGGCTGGAGCATGGCTGAAGGGCAGGTGGGGGCTTCAGCAGCCCTCAGGAGGGGTGGGTCCTGATGAGCGCAGTGCCAGAGCCCAGATGTCATTGTGGCCCAACTCATTAAGGAGCCCAAGACAGGGACACACTTGGCTCTTGCAAGACTCCAGTCTAGGAACAAACTCTGTCAGCCTGGGCACAGTCAGCCTCTGTCCTGCCCCAGCGAGCTCAGCCAGCTCAGCCCACCAGAAATGAATGCAGGGGAGGCAGGGAGCACTGAGGGAGTGGGGAGCACCAGGGGAGGGTAGCCACTCAGTACACAGGCTATGGGTCACATTTCAGAGGCTGCCCTTACACACCCACTCAGGGCCAGGGGCATCCCAGGCCTACCAGCCCCAGCACGATGAGCAGCCACAGGGGGCGCAGGGGGCACTGGCACAGCCAGCCCCAGGGAGCTTGCAAACCCCAGCCAGGTGCACAGGCCACAAGGGTCCTGTCGCCTGGACTGAAAGGGAACCACTCAGGCTCAAGCCTGCACAAGGCTCTACCCCTAACCCTCCAAGAGGCACAGAGAACAGGAGCACAAGTAGACCACATGCTGAGGGCCGGGCCCCACAGGCCTGTGTCCCCTTCTCCTCCTGAGAGTGTCACCCACATCCCACACTCATCCCGGGGCAGCAGTGATCTTTCTTGCCAACCAGAACACTCCTGACTGAAGCCTAGGAAATGTTCCAAGAGGGTCCCCAAGTGTCTGGAGAATGGCGGCAGGAAAGGCCTCCTACAACGACACAGAGAGGAGGCTTCAATGATAGTTCAGCTCTGTGTCCCCACCCAAACCTTATCTCCAATTGTAATCCCCAAGTGTCATGTCAAGGGAGGGACCTGGTGGGAGGTGATCAGATCATGGGGGCCGTTTCCTTCATGCTGTTCTTGTGATGATGAGGGAGTTCTCACGAGATCTTATGGTTTGTTTTTTTTTTTTTTGAGATGGTGTCTTACTCTGTCACCAGGCTGGAGTGCAATGGTGCAATCTTGGCCCACTGCAACCTCCACCTCCCGGGTTCAAGCGATTCTTCTGTCTCAGCCTCCCAAGTAGCTGGGACTATAGGTGCACACCACCACACCCGGCTAATTTTTATATTTTTAGTAGAGATGGGGTTTCACCATATTGCCCAGACTGGTCTTGAACTCCTGACCTCGTGATCTGCCTGCCTCGGCCTCCCAAAGTGCTGGGATTACAGGCGTGAGCCACCACACACCAGTATTTTCATTTGAAAACACATCTATGCGGTGCTCTGAGTCTACCCATTGCCCCTCCTGACTGGCATCACCCAGCCCCAAACCAGACACCTGTGGGGCAGAGGCCTCTGCAGAGCTCTCTAACGCTAGGAGCCCCTCAGACACCACTAAGAACCTCCACGCAACTGACAGTGTGGCATCCTCCTGTGGGAACCTGAGTTGAGTTCAGTTTCTTCAGATGAGTAAACGGAGCCTTAGAGTTGAAGGAGCAGAGCCAGAGCTGGGCCTGAGGCTTCCAGGAAAATTCACCACCCTGAACGCCTTCTGCACCCATCACTCCAAAACCTCCTCTCCAGAATGCCCCAAGCTGCCTACCCCGGTCAGAGTCCTTCCCACGGTGCTCCAGGGAGAGCAAGGGAGACTGTGGGGAGCTTTTTCCCAGACACGCGGCCAAGTGGGCGGAGAAGCAGGAGGACCAGCTAGCGCTGTCATCAGAAGGGCCTCCGCAACGGCGTGCTGGGCTCCTGCGCCTGCCCTGGCTCAGCCGACCACCTGACAGCTGGCCCCTCACATGCAAAGAAATTCACGGGCTCCAACGTGGGACAGGGAATCATTTTTAAAGGTTCCTAGGAGGAGCCTCTAGGTTCTCTAAGGACCTTATAGCCCTCGGACCTCTCTGGAACTTGAACCACCAGAAGCCAGGCAGCAAAGGCAGAGGTTGGCACAGGCCGGCCACCCCCATATCCACGGAGCCCCCTCCATACCTCACTCCTCAGCACAGATGGTCAGAGGCGCAGTCAGAGGCACCAGGTACCAGGTCTGCAGAGAGCTCGGTGAAGGCCAAAGTTTGACAACAGCTCCAAGAAGCTGTCGGCACAAACCACGAAATTCCATCCGCGCTCACCTGTGTAGACACCAGTGACGATGTCTCCTTCCTCAGGTCGGGGGCTATCTGGGACCCAAGGTTCTTCCCCTTGTTCCAGTCGGAAGATCAGATCAGGCTTGGGGATTGGGTATCCTGCCAGGAGAACAGACAACGGCTATAGGCAGCTCCCGTGGGCCCTCCGCTGCCCTATGGCCCGTGCTGTGCCACCGCTCAGTGCCCCTCCACCTCCACCTTCCCAGCATCAGCCCTCCCCACCCCTCCCTGCTCCGAAGGGTCCAGGCATTCCCTTCCCTCTGAACCTTTCCCTGTCCTCCCCTGCTCTCCTCCCACCAAGCCCCCCCAACACCTTCACCTGCAAGATGCCCACACTCTTCCTCTTCCCTCTCCCTCCTCACCCCCAGAGGCTTCAGGGGCCATGCTACAGAGACCAGAGTCAGACTGCCTCCACAGACGTATCACCTGGCTCAGGGCGCTGCCTGGCCAGTGACATCCCCCGCCCCACCCAGAGGCCATGAGGTCCTAGGGCTTCCCTGGGAGGTGGACTGGGCCCAGCATCCACCTTTGCAAAGACCCTGGGATTCGAAAGCCCCCCCTGTCAGACAGCTAAGCCCCTGGCAGCCATCACACCAGGCTGCCTCTTGGGGACTAAAGGTCCCGTCCTTACCCAAGGACACCAGAATCCCATAGTTCTCCTGCATGACTTCCTGATAGAGGCCCCGCTGGTCTGCTTCCAGCCTTTCCCACTCCTCCAGGGAGAAGTACACAGCCACGTCTTCAAATGTCACCAGCCCCTGGGAAACAGAGCCCCAGGTGAGAAGCTGAGGGAGCCCTTTACAAAGAGCCACGGATGATTGAGGCCACTGAGGCCCTCCAGCGTGGGTGTCGGGGACATAGATGCCCAGATGGCACTGAGGGCTTTCAGGCCTTGCCGCAGCCCTGGAAAGCAGGGGCCAGATCCCAGCCAGAGAATGGGGACTCAAGCTCAAAGAGGCTGAATGACCCAGCTCCTAGGGCAGAGCTGTGGCTCATGCAGAGGTCAGGAGACAATGAGCCCTGCCCCCAGTTCCCCTCTTCATGCAGTGTGGCTCAAGCCGGTGCAACGGCCACGTCAGCCATGGAGGGCCCACTCCTGTGTGGACAAGCAGGAGCAGCTAAACTGAGCGTGGGCACTGGCGCCTGACCTGTCTGGGCAGCAGGAACCCAGACCCTGGACATGTGACAGGCACTCCAGGTGCGGGAGCGGCCAGCCTTGGGGGACAGCCAGGCCTCTGAAGTCGCTGTGCACAGTGCCGCTGAGTGGGTGGCAGCCAAAGCGATCAGGACAACCCAACGCTCAGGAGAGCAGGACCACACCCCTGGGCTTGGGGCTGGACACCCAGCCGCTTCCTGTGGCCCCCTCCCAACTCAGGGCCAGGGCCCAGACTGGGGACCCCAGTGCCGTGGCCACTGCCAACATATGTCTCCAGACAACAGGTGCCGAGGCCCCAGGGGGAACCCTGCCTAGGTTACCCAAGCCTCAAACGGAGAGGGCAGCTCACCTGAGACCCAGCCATCAGCAAATCATCCTCGTCCTCATCCTCCTCCTCCTCCTCCTCCTCGTCCTCCTCCAGGTCCTCATCCCTAGGAGTGGCTGGAGCCCAGGAGAGCTGCAGGCCTGCGGGGAGAGATCTCTTAGGGCCAGCTGCCCTGAGCCCCCAGCCTGCAGGGCCAGGAGCCCCGGAAACACCCTCACTGCAAAGCCGGGCTTCAGCTCCACCCTATCAGCCCAAGAGCCCTCCTGACTTGACCAGGTCCCTGGCCTGGTCCACCTCAGCCCCATTCACCTCCTCCGCAAGGCTGGCTGCTTTTCTTACCCTTTTCCTGAAGAACTGGGGACTTGGCATCACCACCATGGCTAAGTCGCTCCTGGGTCCCCAATGCCAGATGCTGCTCCTCTGCCAGCACCTCCTTCACGTCGTCCTCCTCCACGTCCGCCTCCACCTCCACCTCGGCCACCTCCTCCACCTGCGTGTCCTCCACTACCTCTGCCACACCCTCCTCCTCCTCTTCCACCACTATCTCCTCCTCCTCTTCTGCCACCTCCTGCGCCTCTTCCCCCTTTTCCTCCTCCTCCTCCTCTTCCTCCTGGTCAGGGTCACACTCTGCCCCGTCCTCTGCCCGCTCCAGCTGGGCAGCTGGGGAGTCGGGAGTCGTGTGGAGTGCCGCCATCCTCCCTGGGAGCGAGCCTCCGCGTGGCCTGAAACGCAGATGGACGCCAGTGATGCGCTGCTCTCAGCACACCACACAGGTCCCCTCACAGGGTCGCCCACAGCCTGGCAGGGGTGCAGGGAGCAGGACTGACTCCTCCTGTTATGTAGTTGAAGGCAATGGAGATGAGGGAGGACCAGGCCTTCCCACAGTCTTCCCCCGCACCACCAAGACATTCCGTACCCAGAAAGGCTGCCCCAGGAGCCCCTCCGCGTGAGCCCTAGGATGCCAGTCTCAACTCCTTTTTACCAAGAACTACATGCCTGGTGTGAACTGCTGCTCTTTCCTGGAGTAAATCAGCCATTTCTCCCAGTCTTTATCCACAAGGAAGCATCACACAGCCCGAGGGTGGCCTGTGTTTAGCCAGAAGGATACCGAGAACAAAGAGACGCTTACCTGGTCCTCAACACACATGAACCAGGCCAGCAGGGAACGCCAAGAGGTCTCAGCACAGACAGGCTGCAGGCACTTGCAAGGCACGACGGGGCTGGGAGGAGAGACAGGTGCCGAGAAGCCAGCAGGTCAGGCTCCCTCCTGCAGGACATGGGAGAGCGAGGGCTGCGAGCCAGCATCACCTTCATGTGCCCTCAGCCCTCGCTCTGTGAAAAGTGCAGTGCATGGTAGACACACAGCTCATTGCCAGACCATCAGGAGGACAGGAAATGCCTGTGACATTTCAAGTTTGGGGATCAGAGACTCTTAAGGGCTGACTTATCAAAGCCCCAGAGGCTACAGGGTCCTACTCTCTTACTGACATCAGGGACAGCTCAGCCCAGAAGCTCAGGGGAGAGGCAGCCACACTGACACAGGGTCCAGGGTCCAGGGCCATGTACACGGCAGGACGGGATCTGCTGGCCCTGGGACCCCTGGCCCCTCCCCACTGCGTGTCCTTCACCAGCCCCTGTGGGGTCCCGAGGGCAGGGCAGAGTCACAGAGTTGATGAGTCCATTTCGGTGGCTCCTTTCTGGGTATAAACCTGAGACCCGGCCCGTCACCCAGGATACACACCATCAGTGTCTCCGGCCTGAACAGGGCCATTTCCACAGCGAGCCAAGCCCAGAATCCAGGGGCTGAGGCCATGAGCCCCAGAAGCATCCTGGAATGTCAGGCCACTTGACCACACAGAGCACTGGGCCCCCCCTAGTTCATCCAGCTCGAGCAGTGGACACTGTCTGCCACAGAACTCCTAAAACAAGACTGAGTGGCCTTCATGAGAACAGTCCAGACCACCACACCTGGTGTTCTTACAGACACAGGAGAAAGCTGCTCCGTGATTACCTCTCCCTCCATAACCCATCACTTCTCTATCAATTAGGCAGCTGTGTTAGGCCATTTCTGCATTGCTGTGAAGGAATACCTGAGGCTGAGTAAGTTATAAAGAAAAGAGGTTTCATTCACTCACAGTTCAACAGCCTGCACCAACAGGGCACCAGCATCTGTTTCTGGGGAGGGCCTCAGGAAGCTTCCACTCATGGAAGAAGGCAAAGGGGCAGCAAGAGAGAGGGAGGAAGCTCCACACGCTTTTAAAACAACCAGATCTCCAATGAACTGAGAACTCCCTTATCACCAACGGGATGGTGCTAAACCATTCATGAGGGATCCGCCTCCATGAGCCAATCCCCTCCCACCAGGCCCACCTCCAACACTGGAAATCACGCTTCAGCGTGAGACTGGAAGGGGACTGATGGAGCCTAGATGTTTGTCCCTGCCCAGATCTCATGCTGAACCGTAATCCCCAATGCTGGAGGTGGGGCCTGGTGGGAGGTGACTGGATCATGGGGACAGGCCATCCCCTTGGAGACAGTGAGTAATGAGTGCTCGCTCTGAGTTCACAGGACATCTGGTCGTCTTTAAGTGTGTGGCGCCTCCCGACTCACTCTCTCTTGCTTGTTCCTGTTTTCGCCATGTGACATGCTTACTCCCCCTCACCATCCACCATGATTAAAGGCTTCCTGAGGCCCCCTAGATGCCAGGCAGATGCCAGCACCATGCTTCCTGTACAGGCTGCAGAACCATACGCCAATTTCACCTCTTCTTTATAAATTAGCCAATCTCAGGTAGTTCTTCATAGCAACGCAAGAACAGCCTGACACCTGGACAAACACCCAAACCATAGCAGCGGCGCGTACTCATTTCCTGAACTGCTTTGAGCCGCTGCTTTAAAATCCACACTGCTTTAAAAGCCAGGAAGCACTGAGCATTCACACAGGCCCACCCAAGTCAAGGGCTGGGACACAGCCTTCTGGCATCCAGAAGCCACCTCTGTCCCAAAGGTCACCTGTGCCCCCTCAGTGGCTCCAGCCCCCTTTCTAGTTTCAGAATCACTGACCCCCAAAAACTCAAGTCACAGAACTATGCCTGAGAGCGCCACCCCAATCTCCAGCCTCTCCCAGAAGCCGGCCTTCTCAGTGTCCACAGCTCTTTGGCACGTGAAAATGCCTGAAGTGTGGAAACACATGCTCTGCGTGTTATGCTAGCCACCTCCAGGAGGACACGGCCCTGCCCAGCACTCAGGGCGCTGGGTACACTCAGCAACGGTTTCCCAACCGCCACCCACTTGAGGCCCAGAGGAGGGCTTTTCTTTTTCAAGCCTCAGGCCGCAGATTCAGGCTGGGCCTAGGTGCTATGCCAAGCCCGGCAGAGCTGTCTCCTGCCTGGCCACCACCTGAAGCAGCAACTTTCAACTCCCAGAGCCAGGCCACCAATATGAGGACACAACAGAAGAACACTTCATGGCTTTAGAATAAAGTGGCTGCATGTTCATCTCATCTCAGGCCCTATGTGTGCTATTCCCCATCCCCGGAACTCTCTTCCCCTCTTCCTGAGTGATCTTCTGAGGCAGCCCCCTGGGTCCCAGTGGTGATACAGTTCCCTGTATTTCTTCCCTCGCAGCACCTACCACATCTTAAAAATACACTTATGAGACTGTCTTATCATCTCTCTCCCTGCGTATGGTCAGCTCCAGGGCGGCAGAAGCTCCCTTTGCTCATGTCTGACTCCTCCCACACCAACACTTAAGAAGCATTCACTTACTAAAAGAATGTCTAAAGTCGCCAGCCAGTGTGATGGACACAGGATTTTTAAAACTCAGCATTTTGGCCCTACTGTCCTGTTCCAGAACAGGCTGACCACTGCTGGTTGGTGGGACCCTTACAAATCCCCACCCAGAAGCAGTGGGGAGTCTCTGCCTCCAAAGAGGACACCGAGTTCTTTCTCCCAAGAAGTCCACCCACGGATGACCAGAGAAGGTGGAGGACCAGCTCCTACAGAGGTCAGAAACACAGCCAGACATCATCCCCAACCCAAGATTCAGAACAGAATGGTTTGCAAACCAGACCACAGCGGGCCGGGCAGTTTAGATTCCAGCAACTCTCCCTGGGTTATCTCTGCCTCCCCCAGACCCGCACTCTTTCCCTCCTCTTGCCAGCCTGCCAGTCCACTGTAAACACTGCTCACCTCTCCCTCGGCATCCAACTTTGGGTCAGAGGCCACAGGGGGCCTCCTCAGCATCAATCCCAAACCAGAGGCCACAGAGGGCCTCACCAACTTCATCCCAAACCCTCAATTCTCAAACTCCCGACCTCAGGTGATCCACCCGCCACGGCCTCCCAAAGTGCTGGGATCACAGGCGTAAGCCACCTCACCCGGCCCAAACCCTCATTTCTACCAGGCTACTGCACTCTAGGATACGGTGCTGCAGCCAACATTTAGAATGGGAGGTGACAAGATATCTTCCAAGAGAAAAAAGGAGGGAGACAAGGACAGGAAGAAGAGAAAAAGCTTGAAAGTGGATAGAAACTCTCCACAAAAGCTCCAAAGCCAGGGAAACTCAACTTGGAGAGTGGGAGATGTGGGGGTGTGCTTGTGTCTAGCCCCCTTCATTCCCTCTGGGTGGCCCCCACTGCCCTCAGAGCCCTTCGGGTCTTCATGCCCTCCTGGAAGACTTCCTTCTCCGACCACCACAGTCCTCACTGTCTGTCCTCGGATTCTGGATCCCCCTACTCTCCTGGGTTTGCTCCTGGTGCAGGTTATTTCCATGGGGGCCATCCCAGGTCCCCCAGGGTAGCCCCCTCACTACCCCACCTGGCTCCCCAGACCTGCCCACACTTGTTGAACCATACCAAGCACCAAGGTCTCCCCACACAAGCAGAGCTGGGGGCCTCATCCTCCTGGTATCTGCACTTCCTCTTGCCCATCAAGTCCTCGACCAAAGCCCAGCCCCTTTCCTACCTCTGCCGCCACACGGGACAGCCCAGACCCCATCCAATCTCAGGGATGGGTGTCCCTACCCACCTGCCGGCAGCAGAAGACAGATGAGCAGGCCACCGGGGCTCCTTCTGCAGATGAGGGAAAGCCCGGACAAGGCCCCCAAGGTCACAAAGCGGGCTCCTGGGGCGACGGGCCGGGCGCCTCCCGCCCCCAAGGGGGCGTCCGGAGCCGCCTCCTCCTGCAGAGACCCAGACGGTGACAGCCCCTCCTGG